GTGCCCTAGGGCAAAGCTCTTCTTCTTTCTTTTGCACAGGGTGCATCTCCGGTCAGTACGTCCGCGGCTTTACGGAAAGTACATCCCAAGCCCTCGGCTACCGGGCGCCACACACCGCGCCCGCCACGGGCGACAAATTTCCTCTTCGATGATTTGGAGGACCTTCACTACGAGTCGGATACTCATTTCCCAGCATCGGATGGCGAGAAGATGAAGTGCGCCAAGGGCGCGACGTGAGTCCTGCCTCAACCTTGTGGACACCGTGTCCGTTGCCTCTCGACTTCCGGGAGAATACCAATCAGCCTCTTGACTTCCGGGAGAAGTGGCATTGTTACCAATCGCCTTGACGAGAAACAGGAACAGCAAATAAAGGCTGCCCACAGGGCGGCTCTCCTGTGCTCGTATCCACGTTCGGTCTTAGACCGTCGTGTGGAGTACGGCTTGTGCTCAACGGATCCCGCTACAGCAGCTCAGGGTCATAGCTTGAGCTCAGTAAATGGCTCCCGGCTTCCCGGGCTACTGCTGAGAAGCGCGGTGCGCAAGATGACGCGAAGCGTCATGAAAATTCGGATCATAAGCGTCTACGACGTATGGGCAGTTTTGCCGAAGTGGCATTGGAAAGTCCCACGAGCTCTCGGAGTTTGGGTATCCTCACCACGTCACATGATTGAGGCTTGATGCGAGTCCTAAGTGGCGCAAATTTCATGGCGAAACTCTAGCTAATGTCGCAAAAGGTGTCCTTCGATGATAATAGTCCAAGTTCGCGCCACCTTCGTCGTCTCCAAACGCTGCAAGTATTTCTGAGGTCGATTCCCATTGCATTTTTCCAAGCGGGGAGTTTGTCATAACTTTACATGACCTAGACTGACAAGATCTATTTAATATTACAGCAATATTTGCAGGCGGCACGCGCATTTAGTGTGATACCAACCGTATATATGAAAGAGAAAGGGTGATCGCGAAGCAATTCAGCACAAACCACAAACTACTATATATTTTGGAGTGATGCAGCCGGTAGTGCTTCCGAAAGTGGACTGTCGCCACCCTGGTTGCTAGAGTTCATGTCTACACATAGCTTGCAAGTCTCCCCCCGACGGACGATCAAAACTTCAAATATAGCAAATGCGCATGAAAAGGCACTGCAAACACGCGCGACATCTGTCGCATACATAAAGATGCTTCTCACGGAAGGAATGCATCTTTGACAAAAGTACGGCGTTGCGCTCACGTATCGCGTTGCGACCTCTCAGCTTGAAGATTTAGAGTGCTGCTGAACTTATAGCTATCTCAGGTGTTCTTTATTTGAGATTTGTTTTTGCTGTGTGTCCCCCTAAAAGACTGGACGTTTATCATAGACCTAACTCGATCTCACATTGTGAGTCATCTGTGCGTCCCAGGCCTGAGCGTTCTCCGGTGCATTCATATAGCTGGCGAATGCTTCGAGATAGTCCATACTGCTAACGGTTCTTGCGCATTTAGACTGTTATCCTCTCGGGATCCTTCAAAGAAGGGACTTGAAACACATATCCTTATATCCCATACACAGAGCACACCATGTTCTGTCAACACAGATGCATACAGTCTTATCTTGATTCGATCATCGAATTGAAGGCAAGTTGCTATCAGATGCAACAGGGTTGCCACGCACCCCTCACAGACAAATATATGAAGTTGGAAATTTGCATTTACCAACGAACATTGAATGATGCGTGCGCTCCATCCAAGAGCGGGATAGCTCGCGTTTAACTTATTACTACCTGAGTCAAAGGTCACAGCTCAGAAAAAAACGCGGTATATCTGTTCTATGATATATGACAATAGAAAAGTTTCCCAAAGCGTGCCCCATGGACCTTTATGATCAATCTCTCACCTATCTCATCCGTCTCAATAATCCATTATTGTACTGACTTGGTTTCTGTAGGGTTTGAAGCAAATCGAATAATGAATTAGTGGTTAACAAAAGAAAACTATCTCTATGTCAAACACTACGCTGCTGAATCGTAGTAAAATCACGCAGTGGACATGAATGTAAATTTGTAAAAACTGATTCTGGTTCTTCACCTGTTTTCTTGCTCTTGTTCTGTTCCCATATGTATCACTTGCATACTGGATATATATCGAGACGTTACTTTACGGTAAAATTAGCAACATAAGCAATCGTTACTACGATACTTTAAAGTAACTTAACAACATAGCACATCGCTACATTCTCCCCCAACGTCTCGGTATTCCGTTGTCTTG